GGCTTGTCATCTGCACAAATGTCTAAATAATAGTTTACATTTCATTTTGAACCCAACATAAAGATCTGCAATAGGTAGATTTAGCACTTACATAATGCATCTTTAAATGTAATTCAGTCTATGACATTCATTTCCAAGTAATATCTACTCCAGATCGTTGTAACCTAATGCACAGCAATTAGCCATAATTACCATCTCAAAATTAATTTTACCCCCCCCCCCCAAAGAAACCCCCCCAAAAAAACCAACAACAAACAAACAACAAACCGTCATTAAGCTATTAGCCGATTATACCCAAATATAAATTAATTGTGTGTTTGTAGAAGTGAATATTTATTTATCATAGTTTCAATATTATTGCATATTTTCTGTTCAACCAAAAGGTCAATTATACACATGCATTGATAAGATTCTCTATGTATAAATATGCCACCTCCTGTGTAATTTGATACGAAAATGTGGCAAAAACTGTAAATTTTGTTGCACGCTGGGTAATACTTGACGCCATTGTTGTAATACGTCGTAAACATAGATCGGAACATTCCAACATTTGCATGATTGCAAGCTACTCACTGCTGGAAACGAGAATACGACATGATACAATTCCATTTGGCCCTCCCAGCTAATAAGAGAAAAACATCTAATGGAAGAATTTTCATCCTATAGACCTATATGAAGTGATCTTTCCAGTTGGTTTAATTAGAACACTAATTAGAAATATTTGGCTATAATATAAAGGAAAATATAAACAGATCAGCACCGCTATGCGTATGGACCACAGCTACATTTAAAATGCGTATTTGGGCGAACATAAAGATCAAACCGATTAGGAAATCCAGACATGACAAATGGAATATAAATCTACAAATTACCGAAATAATTATATTAAAACAATTTATGAACAAATACAAAACTGGAATAATTTATATCGCCAAAGCGGTACCAACTAAAATATTTATCTCAAATTGACTTTTGGTATAACTGCTTTTGGTATAATTATAGGGAATAATATATTAAGTCTGGTGAAGGTATCGATGCACGGGCACACAACTACCAATTACATTAATTGATGGAAAGTTTTCAGCAAAGACTAACATCTTACAAACCAAATCGAAATATGGCATACGATTATAATGTAATCGACAATTTTATTCTTGACCCAAATCAAAAGAGATCTAGCAATAGTTTGCATTATATATTAGAAAACTAGTTTGTAAATGATCCTATCTTTTTGCACATAACAGCGAATACGAGAACAAGATTAATACCTTTACTGTAAACTGATGTACATGCATACAAATACAACAGTGGGACTTTCTTTGACAGTGACACAAGCAATATAGCATAACAACTAACTCATCATATTATCCCTCATCCGTCTCGCTTGATATGCATATTTTGTTTGTGGTTAGAACGTTTGTACATGCATATACATCTTTTTAGTTTTGTTCTTAGTCGTCATTATGTCTACTGTTTGGGGCCATAAATTAACAGGTGAAAAATTACATAGTTTCAAGTTAACTTTTCAGATGTATTGAACCCTAAAGTGTAAACTTAAACAGATGAGGAGTGATAAGACTAAATATGATTGCATTATGGCAGTGATTTTAAACTTGTTTATAGTGGTTATCTTTTTGCACCGGAAGATGGAAATGCATATGGTCAGATCTGTTCTCAACACATCTTTTACGAATTTTTAAATCTGAAAATCTGACATGTGACCAACTTCGTTCAAAACGTAAAAGCTTACGTTTGCGTGATCTAAATTTACAAATACTGCATTTGGACAGTAACCACTGTGATTTCCTTAGATAGAGATGTTGCATGTTTCCAGATCAATGCTTTCAAACGTTCGCCATTAACCCGCTAATAAAGTCGCAAGTTCTACTTTGGCATTCAAAAATATATTTTTATGTCGTCAATACCAGTCAGAACATACATCAGAAACGGTGAAAATGTATTGGAGATGTATGTATTAACATTTTGCGCTAATACTTACATTGTACGATGCCGAATATTATATAGTTATCAGTTATTACTATTATCCATGGTATACAACAGGGTTTGGTTCTAGGACCCCATGATATGTTGTTTCGTTTAAATAAACTGCAGAAAAACACACCCCAGGATACCACCAATTGGTTTTCAGTAGATTTATATGTACCGCGTATATATCAATGTATTGCATATCTTATCAGAAGGCCCGAAATATCAGATTGCACCCATTAAAGAACGTCGATTTATTTTGTAACTCGGGCCGTCCATTAATTCACTACCGGTAATTGTCCATTCTGAATGGAGAGAAGACATGCTGAATTGGCAACATTTCTTTAATACCACTAGTGTAATTGAACTATATCTGTTAAAAGGTTACATGGTTCAAGCCATCTATAATACTTCTTAACTTGATTGATTCAAAGGTCAGAAGACTCTGGTAGTAAATATATTCTAAGTAACTTTCACTAGTTTGGTATCTTATGTTAAGCTGATTATATTAGACGGTATTATTAAATGCATATCATGCCTGTATCACCCATCTGGTCGACATGTGTAAATACTTGAAATATTTACTTAGCAGTAAGTCCCACTCAACACAGTAACGTTACGTCAAAAATGCAAATTCAGATATGTGCATACATTATGTCTAGTATATATTCTTAGTGGAAGTGTTTACGTACAGATTGCTTTGTTAATAATCGCTGCTATCTTTTAAGTACACCTCTTAAAATATGTCCTTTGATCTCTTTTTATGAATGGGGACATCGGATTATTATTAAAACAATTTAAAATTTGAGATTTGTCAAATACAATACATTCAACTTTAGAGAAGTAATAAGATATATTTCAAATAAAATTTATTATGTAGAATTTGTAGAATATTAAACAATTGGATATCAATAAAATTATTGAAGAAACAATAGGTTGATCCTTTAAAGTGTCCTTTACTGCGTGGTTTCCTCTTGTCAGCGGTGTAGGTACCGTTGGCATGCACGTAAAAGAACCACTTTCAGTTGGAAATCGTCGAAAAGTAGGCGGGAACGCCGTTATCAGGGCAAATTTTACCTTATAGTACACTTCATGGCGTATGCTTGTCTAGGTGTAACCTCATTGCATTTCATTTCCAAGCTGTTGCAATGTGATAATAATTATTAGGATACCACAGACACCCTGTAGTATATTATACATATTTATGTACATTGCCGGTATGTGTGTTTGTATAATAAAAAAATTCTTTAAAGCGCTCCACTGAATCGACCGCATGCTGGGAATTGTGGTTATTGGACACCAACTTACTAAATTGCATGTTGTGTCAGCAGTGCGAGAGGGTTTGGTCGAAGGCAATGTAATTTTGTAACTTCCAAAAAATACCCAGGAGAAAGTCAACTAAAAATTGAAAAATCTTATATATCCTAATTATGTGTGTGATAAGTAAACTGTATTTATTTTACGCATGGAATACTATAACGATATAGTAAGAATGTTTACTTTTCCGTTTATGTTTAAAACTTTAATTTCAACATGACAATAGAAATATAAAACGTAAAAGAACAACAGATAATATTGGTCAAACTCTCTCTGACCGCTTGACTGACTTTGTTCCATTACATTTTTTAGCAGGCCCTTTTACAGGGCTGAACGAATTAATGTACACAGTGGGACCATTTTAATAATTCATTGTGACTTTATGGGTGGTATATTAGCAGACAAAGTGTGTCTACATAGATAAATTACACGATCCAATTCTTATCTGAATAGGTAACCCACTTCCTATAGCTACACAACCTTAGTAGTGTAAGTTTATACCTACTTGATTGATTGAGCAATAAATGAGATTACGATTAAACGACCACTCTTATCCATGTTTGTTATTTATACTGACGATAATTCTCGTCGTTTATTTGCATTGATTACAACGTCAATTACGATATTAAGGAAGGTCCGATAATAATACAGTTAATCCTAAGATACTTAATATATATTTATATGGAGCAATCCACCCAAGACTAACTTCCAACAATAAGAACATTGATAATGAATGTCATCTTTAAAACAAAGGAACTTACGCGCTTAATATAAAATAACATTCACTCATATATAATGTTATACGTGTATCTAGTATAAGAACATACTAAAACAACGTATAATGTGAAAATGTTCTTTCTGGTATCGATTTGTAATGCTTGTGCACCATTCATATTAGAATATCTAAGTAGGGATCTTCCTACGTTCGTGGCAATGATTATTGAAACTTCTCATTAATCTACTATATTTCATACGCAATTTTCGCTCGTAGTAAAGTATAATTTCAATGTGATTTGAATTACGGTATTACGAAGTTTTTTTCAATAATTATGCCATATTATGGCAGTTGCAGGTCAGAGCGATTGGTGGTAAGAATTTCAACACTGTTCACTTGATTTGATAGTTCTTTTAAGACTATCCGTGTTTTGTCGGGACCCATGGTGGCTCAGTGAGTAAGACGTTGACTCGCTAACATGGAGGCCCCGTGTTTGATCCCTACGTTGACCGAGAGAGTTAATGGTGATTTTCCAGCGTGGTTCCCCCTTGTCAGTAACCCAGGACGAAGGGCCTGGCAAGGGACAGTGTATAGTCGTTCGGAAGGGACGAAAAACCGAGTTCCCGTGTACACATCGGCGTGCACGTAAAAGAACCCTTGGCAGTTGGAATTCGATATAAGCGTTGGAAGTAGCGTCGCTGTCCTGGCAAAATTTCCCTCATAGCTCGCTGTATGGCGTATGTCCGTCTTCATTAGTCCAGTCCGAGCAGAAGAGTAGGACGTTAAACCTCATTTCATTTCATTTCCGTATATTTTCCCGTCTGCGCCTTTGTCTTCTGGGGTTCTAGATAATTTTTGTGTGTTGTGCGGACCTCGTATACGCACTATTATAAAAGTACAGTTCAACTTCAAAATGTTGATTGGCAAAGATGAACAATATCAAGGCTAAACTTTACATATAAAGAAAATTAATAAAACTTACCATTTCTCGCATATTTGAAGCCCTCTGATTCCTCCTGTATTCATTATGCCGTTCGAGTATTGTTCTATGAAAAGCTCTAATATCAGCTAAACCAGTATACGAGTATACAACAGACAAAACACTAAATAAAATGGCTAGTCTACTAGTTAATCTATAATTATTATTAACAACCATAGCTAGTATTAAAACACCTAATCTAAAGTTAACTACCTACTACTCATAAACATAGGCACAGAATCCTTTTTGAAACCTTAATCCGCAACCACCGCAGTTCACAGCTTTATAAAGCCAGTCCAGTTTTTAAATCCCTCCTCTATCTTTCGTTCACTTTACATTTGTACAAAACGCTACTGTTTAAATCCGACACTTGTCAATTTGTCATCTGATAAGGTGTGAATATTATGGACCACAATTAAGGCCAGTAGCGTAAATTATTATTATAGACCAACGTTCGCCAAAGACGACAAAACTAAAACCGCTACGTATTTAGCATAACAGAATCAAAACACCTCTAATCAATGCGTGAAGTTGGTTAATTCACTGTGAGCTATATTAAGAGGTGGTCTAAACATGCCCACAATCTCAACTGTTATGAAAAGTTAAAACATTAATATATCCTGTAGATATGCAAGACGCCAACTATCGATCAAACATGCCTTAAAATTAAATTCGCAAGAATTGAATTTGAAATAAATTCTATTCTGCAGTGCATAGCCAGGATTGGAGAGGTACGTATCAAAACATAACCTTTGAACCTTTTTGCATTTAAGCGCCTATCTTTAGAGAATAATAAAATGCTATGTTTTAAATCCAGAAAATGAAGGCAATGAAGAGTATTTCACTTAAATTCGGTGTGCTTACATACGAACTTCACTGAGTGATTCCTCCAAGTACAATTTAACCCCAAGTAACATTTAAACTAAGAATATTTTACGAAACTACACGCAATCGGGATGTTTAAAGAGACACTTCATGGACGTTTATCACAGTTATTTTTATATTTTCTGAAACTTCTTTAGAATTTTAATCATGGCATTTTTTTTAAAGGAATATGAAGCACTGGGGCACAGAAGGGATAGGGAGGATCCTTTTCGGCGCGAAATGTTTTAGAATTTTATCAAATCTTAGTGAAGTTTTGAAATGTGAACACCCTGTGCTTTGTGTTACAAGTATGATGTTTAAGAAAGCGGGGGGGGGGGGGGGAGGAGAGAGAAATGGGGTTTAACGTCTACTCAACAAAAACTAGGTCATTTCGGGACTAACACATGGTTCAATTAGATTTCAATAATTCGCTTACGCGCAGGGGGGGGGGGGGGGCCCTACTTTAATCACATGCTGACCATTCGGCCATCCAAATGCTATATTAAATCTCTCAAATAGTACTCAAGTTATTTGTATTGCTCCAATGCTTCTCTATTTTTGCTGCAAAGCAGTGGGACATTTTTCTCATTGGGTATTTGCCCCACTACCTCCTGTACTATAGAATGCCCTAATATCACAAACTTGAATAGTAATTATTATATATGATTATTTCTGAAATTATTGCTTGTTTTAAATTGTGATGGATATTTATTTTTTCAGTGTTCTATTAAAATAATAAGTTCATAATAAATCATAACCTAATTACATGGAATACAAGGTATTCGAATTCATTTGTCGCGACCTTTTGACGAGGGGTTCCCAAAACATCGCTAGAAATACATTCAAGTATTCAATAGAATTGTGTCATGATCCATTCTGTGTCAGTTCCGAAATAAAGCTAAAACAATTTAGGAAGAACTTTGATTCATCCCAAAGCAGTATTTTCATGCTTAATTTGCTATTCTGTGACCATGTACCACGAATATGGAAGGACTTAATACAATTAACAAACAATAATCTCATTTCAGGACTAGTTAGGACTTGGGTCCGTCCTAGAATCTAGATACAGACTCATAGTCTAAATTGTGTTTAATCAACTGTTTGTAACATCTTCAAACCAAAGAAAAAGAGGTAAACAATAGTCCTTCTAATTATCTCAATTTCTGGATTTCAAAATTCAAAAGAACCTACACATTTAGCTATAATGGCCCTTTAACCCCTAAGACCTCATATTACATTTAATGATATCCCATTAGACAAGCTATTTTCAGTTCTATATATAAATCATAAGGTACTTAATAAATCCCTCACATGACGCAATATTTATGGTTGTTGAATAAATACTGCTCTAGTCAGCGAGCAATTTACATACTTTAGTACTCTAGTAGTTAGACCAGCTGCGGTAGGCCTTCGTAATCATAAACAACTATTCACAAAACACATGTTATTTAAGTATATTTTTGTATGTTCCAATTTCCAATTGAATTGTTTGACATTTTCATTATAATTGCTTTCACCTTTATTATGCGAACTAACCTCTGTTGTTTTTTGGGTAATATATTCTAGCTTTGTTTGAAACACCTATAATTACCAGGTTCTATTACATACAATATTTCAAAGGCAATAAAGTAACTTCAACCCATGTCTCTAGAACATTTAGCTTATGACAACCTATGTGATGGCAATATGTACCATTTTCTTTCCATTTAAACATAGTATAGTTAAAAATCTAACTAAAATATCATATAACTTTAGAATGGATATTGTATTAAGTTGTCCTTGTCATCAAAAGTGTACAGTTTAGATTTTTCAAACGAAACACTGTTAGGTACATGGCTTGATAAATGCTTTTTCAGACCTTAAAGATACATTATGTAAGATTTAGATAAAGAGGTAGCCATTCTTGCTATAATAGGTCGAAAAAAGATAATGTAAAATGAATAATTTAAAATTTTCATTCAAATTACCCTATTGCGAGCGAAGATATTAGCCTTTGAAGGTTTGACAAGACGTGTGCAATAATTTGTTCGAAGCTAAGTCTCGCTCCTCCATTTTTAGCTTAAATCAAAATATGGCTGAACTGTTCTAATCTATTTAATATCGGAGAAATCCGATGCCATTGAGAGTTGATTATGGCCTGGATAAGTTAATTAATGTCTAATTAATAATTTAGAAAACATTTCAGGCATAAAGAAAGACCTTCAATAGGCAGATTTAGCTCTTGCATAATGTATGTTTAAGACATGGCTTGGTAAATGAATTTTTATACCTTAAGACATTTAAAGTATTTAAAATGGTATTGCTTTATTTCGCATTTCTAGAAAAGGGTCTCAACAGATGTATGAGAACACCGGGTTTGTATTCTGGATCCCAATCAACTATTTCTATTGACTTGTTTGGTATTTGCAGTCCATTATTAAAATATTGCCCCGTGTTTAAACAAGAATGATACTTGGTAAATAACAATACTCTAAATACTTTATATTTGCTATACAATACTTTAGATTGATCTAAGCAGGCTACAATTTAATCCAAAATACACACGGTAAACATTTGAGATACTATTTAATTTGTTATATAGTCAATACTGAACTCTCTAATAGAATTCTATTATTATTTTCGTTGAATTATTAATCTATATTACTTTTTATTAATCTACTAATAATCGAATCTAAATAATTGTCCATAGCTCATCCCATGGAATGACAAATAATATAAAATAGTTACAATGGTCCAGTTGAACCTAAATCAATAAATGTTCTTTTATTCAAATAACAATTAATGCTATGTCTATATTTTACAATGTTCATCGATAATATAGTACCCGACGGTATGGTAACTTACAAATAATACTGCCATTACTACTGGCAACATGCAGAACAGTCATTCTGAATACCTATGTTTGTGGTTGAAAATCAAAACAAAACATCATTAAAATTTTCAACCGCAAATACACAACATGCGTCCACTTCTATGGAAATGAAATGAAATGGCTTACATTTAAATCGAATTTCAACTGTCCAGGTTTTTTTTTACGTGCACGCCATCGTGTACGCAAGACATCGGTTTTGTGTCCGATGCGAAAGACTGTACCTTGTCCCTTACCATGTCGTCATAGCACACTGTATGGTGTATGCCCGTGTTCATTAGCCCAGTCGGTGCAGAACAAGATCACGTTAAACCCCAATTCAATTTTTTTCCAGGAGTTCATTGACCCCTACTTTGTTGCCGGATTTTAATGATTAGGTAACGCAGGGGCATGATTTAATGATTAGGTAACGCAGGTTTGAACTTACAACTATAGTTTTAAATGAATATCCCCGATTTGAAGGAGGAAGGAAAACAGAATGAAGAGATTGGTGATATACCGTGGATGGTAGGCTACTTCTGGGTTATGTATGGGCATTGCCGAAATTGTCCCATCTGACGAAAATGTTAGAGCCGGACAATGAGACGAGAATTAACATAAATGTGAATGAATGGGTTGAGAGGGTGAGGGGGTCTTTTATTGCCTTCGTCATGATTAACGGGAGATAACCGCCTTTAAAGTTGATATGATGTAGTCCCCACACTTTTCTCCGTTGCAGACTACAATGTTATATAAAAGCTACGTTTTGCCCAATAGCAATTTTTTGAAGACCCTGTGGAATTTAGTCTTTTCCTGTTTACGTCCGTATACCTCTTCATACTAATTATAATGAGCCAAAAATTCAAGACAACAAGCAAGAGCCCAAGTTCCACCAATGTATTTTAATAATCTACGAAATTTCTTGATATCCCCATACATTTTTTGCCTAAAATGTTCAAACTTGTCTCATATCAGACCTATAACATCAAATTTAAAAAAAAAAATTAAACATCACCCAGGTGATAGCGCTTTGAATTCGACTAAGGCGAATAACATAAAATACGAAACACAACGGATCTAAAGCGCAATATTTGCGGTAAATGGTCTCTCTAAATGGGAGAATGTAATAATAGACGCTAAACTAGTATCACGTGTTATAATAGTCAAAGTCTAAACTTGGCCCTTTATGGTGACTACAACCAGAATATGTGGTAGAGCAATTTCATTTAAAGATTACATTTTAAGCATTACTCAAGCATAATATCTACAATATTTGATTAAAATATATTAAACATACATTATGCAAGCGCTAAATCTGCCTATTGCAGGTGTTTCTTTAGGCCTGAAATGTTATCTAAATTATTAATTAGACATTAATTAACTTATCCAGACCATAATCAACTCTCGATGTGAACGCTAGCTTGCGATATTTATTGGATTAGGATCCGATCTGCTGCTAAACTTTCATTCATGACTTAATCATGAAATGAATAATCAAGACTATGTTTTTGTCGTACCGACTTTAGTTATAATGATCGAGGCTAGGCCGAAAATCTCGATTCAGAGTGGATCAATTTGACTGAAATTTCAGCAAATTCCCTTTAGATTATCTAGTTTTTAACTATTACAGTGAGAACTGTCAGCTCTTTATCTAATCTCACATAATGTATCTTTAAGTAATTTATAAGAAATGTTAGAAGTTTCTAACGCATGGTCTTACTTTATTTCATGACTCGACAGAAAGATAAGCACCTGTCTTGCCACGCGAAAATCACTGGACACAGGTATCACGATTACAAATTATAATAGGACTGTGTATCAAACTGTATATTCCATCGCCACCTTGCACTGGAATTTAGAGAAAAGGAGATATAGAAAAGGCAATTGGTCAAATTCACACCGATGTTTTTATAGAAAATACCCCGCAGCTTTTACTGCGGTAATATAATTCCTCTTTTAGATGTGTACTGTAAGTTTAAACGCCATTTCAAATACCTCAAATCTTATGAAACAGATCTCCTGGGGAGGATTAATGTTAGTCCTTGGAATAGGCTAATCCATTGTATGTAGAAGTCAAAGTAACCTGCATGTGTATTATTATAACATTTAACGTGATGAGGATATTTCATCGAACTGATCTCACATGTTCTGCAGCTGAACTATATAAATTACTGTTTGACGTCAGCAAATAGCTCACGCGCCATGCTGCATTGGCCATGTGTACCGGTTTGATCTAGTTTTAAGACAGCGGGTCATAACGGTCTAAAGCCAATGTTGGTATTTATAGTCTATTATAGATCAATATACACTGTCTTACACCCGGATCAAATAACCCAATTTCATCTTACTCTACGTTATATTATGGCATTTTGTAGACTTGAGTTTGGTCCGCATCCACAAGACATGTAAACGCACATTGTAAGTATTTCATTTCTGTTTTATGGTGTTTGTGTTATGTCAAATATTTTTAAATTGTCTGTGGTAAGACTATAAGGTTGAGACAGATAGATGATTAACGGTTTGTCGTTGGTATACCTGCTAGAAATATTTTCACTTCAGCTAATCCCAGAAACCTATAATTCCTGATAACTCGTTGACAACTTCCGCCTCAAATCACGAACTGGGCATATTGACGAAAAACCTTCGTTTCTAGACCAAAGAGTCAGCAAAATATGTCCTGCAAACGGCCGATTTATTGGAAAACAAAGTCACAACGGGACCTAATTACTGGTGACCCTCTGGGCTATTGTTTTGCAATTACTTTGGTTTTGCAATTACAAGGTTACAGAGAGTCGTCGCAATATCATAAATGTATTTACCCAATTATAATGGACAGGACAATCTTTATAACAAAGTCACGTGGTCACGACCCTGAAAACTTAACTATAATTATTAAAACGATGTTTACATTATGTAATATTTTTCTATTTTCATAACCTTAAATGTAATTATAATATATATCTAAACATTACACTCCAAGAAATGTATATATATATGTTTGTAACTCACTACCTATACATATGTCCACCATTGTTTACTGTAAACATAAGATTGAACTATTTTATATGTTTGGAGAGAACTTATATAGGCCTTTGCCTGTTGTTCAATCCATTTCAGTTTATTGAATAAAATATTGTTTAAACTATAGCTATCAATTGAAAATAAATGAGTACCACAATAAATGCACGAAAAAGAGGTTAACGTCTCATGCCCCATTGACACTTTCACGCATTTTGAATCCGCAATGGTAATCATTAATGCGTACCAATGAGGATGGATATCATGTATATTTCACCTGTCAATCAAATAGTTCGTGCCGTTGCTGATCAACCTTTGCTCATAGTATGCAAAATCTGTCCGCACTGGTGCGCATTCGTACCATGTTAAGCAAGGCTGACACTTGCACGATTCCGTGGCACGCATTGGCACGACTCGAGTCGTGCCAGTGCGCAAACTAGTCGTAAACTGGCGTGAAGTGTGCGTAAACCCGTCGTGACTGCGTGCCATGTCGGGACAAGAATTTTGAAATGTTCAAAATTTTGGTCACGACAAAATTTAGCGACCGGGTCCTGAACTATGCGCAAACTGTTCGTGAACTCGTCGGGACGATGCGGGAGGATGCGCGGGAGGATGCGTGGCAGTGCGCGCCATGCCACGACTGTCACGAACTGCCACGAATAGTTCACGACTAGTTCACGAACAGTTCACGACTACTGCGGCACGACACCGTCCGAATTGCGCAAACTCGTCGTGCCAATGCGGGAAGTGCGTAAACAATGCGCAAACTATGCGTGAACTCGTCGTGTCAACGTGGACACTGATGGGCACGCATTCGTGAACTCGTCGTGAACTATGCGTGAACTAGTCGTGAACAGTGCGGGAGCCTCCCAGTTCGTGTCCCAAAATGGGCACGACTTGCCACGACAAAATCGTGGCCAAAAGTCGTGCAAGTGTCAGCCTGGCTTTAGTTGTCTCTCATGTGTCCCGCATCGTCCATCATTGTCCTGTTACAGTACGCAATATCTGCGGATAGTTTGCGCACAGGTGACCGCGCACTTGCGCTATGGTACGCCAGTTCCTGCACTGTCAGGTATTGGTTACGCTAGTGTACTCAGTTTTAAGCATGCGTGACCATTTTGTGAGTCATTTTGTGGCACGCACTGGCACGCTTCATAGAAATAATATAATAAAGGAAACGTATTGGGATATGGTCCATTCCGTCGGCAACTCTTCAAAATGATGAACTCCAGAGACCTTGAAGAAAGGAACCTTACTTTGCAAAACGTACATCTTACAGCAGCTGCTGGTCTACAATTTTTGGAAGAAGATGAAAGTGAACGAAATATTGTTCTACAATCAAAACCTGACACCAACAGAACGTCTGCCTGCAGCAAGAAAAGAAAAGTCAGGAGACTCTGGGTGAGGCAATGGTTGACAATGAGACAACATGTTGGCCATTATGACCAGTTATTGTCGGAACTTCACAAGGAAGATCGCAGAGGTTACCGGAACTTCCTACGTATCACCCCTAACTGTTTCAAGAGATGATTGAAAAGTTGACCCCACACCTGAAGAAGAATAAAACATTTATGAGAGAGCCTCTTGAAGTTGGCCTGAAGTTAGCAATCACACTCCGCTTCTTAGCCAGTGGCGATTCCTATGCAAGTCTCCAATACAATTTCAGAGTTGAACTTAGCACTATATGCAAGTTTCATTATATTTTTCTGGACATTTTCATTTCAAGATTTTAACTTCAAGACTTTTTGAAATGTAGAAAATATTTTCATAAGAGTTCAAATTCCAGATTTTTTTTTAGATACTTTCAGAAACCAATGAATTGATTTCTTTGTCGTGTAAAATTAAGAAATTATTTTTTAATTTTAATATTTAATGATATATAAAAGTTACCGATAAAACGCCGAAAATGAAACATAAAGTCATTTTTTTTTGTTTAAAATGTTGATTTTGTGCATGAAATGTTGACATAAAAATGTAGAAACAAGAATCATTAGTTTAGAATGTTGCGTTCGTGTCTAAAATGTTCAAACTGGAATGTAGAAACAAGAATCATGAATATTGTCCCATTTGGTCTTCCGTAATAAGTGTTGTATGCGTCGGCTTTGTCAGTCTTATTTAAAATCCTATAGCCTACTCAACTGAATTAAACAACACGCCTAATAGAGATATTCGCTCTGTAGAGGGCTTCGTCGTTTGGTAAATATTAATTTCTGATATAAGTCAACGGAATCATTGATCAGATATGGACGTTTTATCTTTCAGTTCACGAGTTTTACAAATTATTTAATAATTTAAGAAATAAAATGAAAAATACAGTACTCTAATTAAGTCTGTCTTTGGATTCTTTGCACGTAGGTAAGATTAAGCTTATTTTAGGTATGACATTATTTAAAATATTTTACATTTTGTTTCTTGGAGTGAGGAACCACGGTGACTCAGAAAGTATGGAGCTGGCTCACAAATCAGGAGATCCCGGCATTCTGGCATTGGCCGAGAAATTTCCTCGGAATGTTTCAGTCTGGCTTCTCCTTGCTATTGGTGCAAAACGGAGGGTCTGACAAGGAAATGCGTCATCTAGTCGTTCGGATGTGACGAAGATCCCAGGTCGCGTACTGGCCTGCATTTATAATAACCCGTGGCAGATGGAATTCGAAGAAGAATCCCCCGAAAAGTAGCTTTCCGGGCAAAATCATACCCCATAGTAAACTTTATGGCATTTTAGTCCGCTTGGTCAGAAGAAAATAGGACGTTAAACCCCTTTAAGTTTGATTCTTGATAGGAGTGATTTTGCCCTTTTTAGTGAGTATACTAACTATCACACCAAAACGTGACTAGTTGGTGTGCCGTCATCGGAGCAACCGTAGTAACGTTTGAAACTTACTACGAATACACTCACATTGTATTCGCCGAGGTCAAAGTTGAAAAGGCCAAAACCTTGGTTCAAACTCTAAAATCCGTGCTGAAAAAATGAGTAACGTACCTTATATAAGCTTGTAATAGCTATATCGTATGCTGTCTTTATTTTGACATATTTAAATAGACAGTTAATCTGGTTTGCAAGAAATAATATAGTGTGTACTTTATTTGTCCTATATTATAGCTCTCATTACTGAAGTTAGATAATCCAAAATGGTCTACTCGTCAGTTCCCATAGACAGAGGATGGGCATGGATGATAGGATTTGGTAAGTTATTCCTTTATGTAGACAATTAATCAATCTTTTAACACCCGCTTACTGTTTTTGATATTTTTAGTGAAATTTATATTGCTAGGGTAATTGTTATTACATTAATGGTATATTAAACTTTATCACCCAATAATACATTCTGCAGTAGATATCCCTTGTGTGATATTTTTCATAATCTAGTGCGATATCTCCTTTACATGAATTTGATTGGTCAGTTGAAAAGGAACTACTTTTTTTATTTTCAATGAACAGTTCATTTCTTATTAAAAGTAACTTTTTTTAAAATTAAAAATGGGCTATTGTTATTCAATTGATCTTGATGGAAACACTGGGTCAACAAAGGACTTTGCAATGGTTGAATTGCTGTCAAAAAATGATGTATCACTACGCCGTAATGTTCAGCAAAAGTGAAATCTACAGCAAAGAATTATATTTATCTATTTGTGCATGTAAGAAGGGGTTGGGTGATAAATATAGAGAGATGACTCGTGTTTTCCTTTGGCGTTCGTCACTTCCGATTCAGGAAACCTGTATTACTTAGCTATCGTAGCAATGATCTCCGTGTTAAAATTATATTTGGAATGGGTTTAACCAGCTCTATCACATATGTGATAATGACTGGCACCAATATTGTCCTTTAAGAATTGTGGCCTGTAGGCGACACACAGACACACACACCTACACACGCACAGAAAGGGGCGATGGCAATATACGTCCACATTATGAATGTGGACGTATAAAAATAATGCAACTAATATCATTACCATATGGGTCTCACATACTAATACCATTTCCAAGTGGGCCTAACCAACTAATACCATTTTCATGTGGGTCTTATCAACTAATACTATTTCGATCTTGGTCTCACCAGCCAATGGTAAATGTGAAAATCTCTTTGGCTTCCGGAAGTTGTCGGCCTTTACCCATAAAGACATTCAGAAAAAATATCGGGGTTATTCGTAACCATAGTAGGGCTATATTAGGGTTAAGGTCATCGTAATACAGATTAGCTCGCGGTTAGGGTTAGGTTAATCCTAGTAAAGATTAGTTTGTGGTCAGCAGATTAGCTCGCGGTTAGGGTTAGGTTAATCCTAGTAAAGATTAGTTTGTGGTCAGGGTGAGAGTAATCCTATATCAGAAATACTGTACCATAGAATAACGATCCATGTCTATTTAAGGCCGCGATGCCCGCGCTATTCTAAAAATAAAATTAAAAAATCATTGTGAATTTATAAGTAGATCTGTTTTGTAAAACTAATGTCAAGTAAAAATATGGATCTGTTTTGTAAAACTAATTAATGTCAATATAAAGGTTTAGAAAAGATAAATTTATTGATTGATATGTAATTTATTCTTACAAGCTACATATATGTTTTTTTAGAATAAATTGCTAATAATATAAAAGGATAAATTACATATTAATCAATAATTCAATGTTGATTTATTTATATATTTATTAGTTAAAATGCAGGTGTAAATATTATACTAGCGGGGTCGGGGGGGGGGGGGGTCGGTGGTGGTGGTGGTGGAGGCGGGGGTCTGGACACGCTTGAATATGAAGAAATGAAATGTAACATCTAACATTTTTGCATCAACCGGGATAATGAAGATGGGTATCCACCATGCAATGGGCTATGATAGTAATTTGGCTGAACAGTGGTAAGGGTTTTTTTACGTCACGTCGACTTTCACGGATAAACTTTAGGCTTACGTTCCATCTGAACGACTGTACGTTTTCCCTTGCCAGTCGCCTGTCCAGCACTTCTAAAGATAGTCACGCACAGCAGCAATGTCTCGTCAGCAGTTTGAAGCTAGGCACGCAAAGCACGGAAATACGTCCACAGCAAGCAATGTCTCATCAGCAGTTTATTCGACAGGAAAACTGCGATGTTGACCAAATTTGATATTTCCCGAAAGACGACGCATCCTTTGCTGAATATCGATAGGTCCCGTCCTCGCATGACCCAAATGCGGCAATCAAAATTGTACAATTTATCGGAATGTCAAGGTTTTAGGCGATGGAGGTGGGGTAAGTCCTCTCACGGCCCAAATGTTTCAATCCAAATTGGAAAAAAAAACTGTAGCCGCCATATCATGCACAGGGTTTTCGGCAAAAGGGGAGAACTGATCCTCTCATGATACAATGTTTCGTTCTAAATTTGAAAAACACCCGTTAACATCTACAGCCTCTAACCCAGGAACGGAAAGTGTATGACATAATATGCCCAAACTGAAATGTTGGCGTATAAAAAGGGAAAACCAGCCTTGGAAATCCTGTAGAACTTACTCGGTCAACGCAGGGATCGTACCGGAGACCTTCTGGTTAGTAGGTCAGGGCCAAAGCCATCGTGTAACTGGATTAATATGAAATAAACTATTAAATTGCTAATAGTAACAGAAATTATGTCAAAATTTCAATATTTTATTTATAGTTCTCTTCGTTATCCCAGAGTAGGACGTTAAACCCCATTTCATTTCATTTATTTTTTTTCAAAGTTGTCATTTGCAAATATCTTTACTATTGGGATTCGGGCAGGTTAATCAAATTTGGGTATCAACTGTCAGATTGTTCTGTATTAAAGGTGCCTGCGTACAAAACATCATTTTGCTCGGTGTGCTTAAATCATTTGGTATTGTACTGGTAGAAATCATAGAAGAGTTTGGTTCGTCATCTTCAATGGCATCAGCTATCATCAGTGTCCAATCAACATGCCATGGGTTTACAGGTGAGCGAATTAACCTTAGCTAAAATATAATTAATCATAAGCTGAGATTCCATCGAAGTTCATGTCTGTGAACGCAAAATGTTTAGGTTTCTCCCCGTTGTCGTTTGGAATATTGTGAAAGCTTTTTGTACGGTAAATTGTGTTTGTAACGCATAAGGTCATCAAAACGACACCAATATTTCCGTTTACCGTGTTAAATGACACCAAACGAAATGATAAAAATACCGGAGTATATATACAGCTGGCGTGAATGACTGACGGGTAATGTTTACCACGGACTCGAAGGTGAAACTTCCATAATGGACGTCTGTCCATAAAAATTAAAGTTATGTGTGTATCAGTTACTCGACCAGAACTTCAGGAAATTTAACTGAAAATTAATACTTATGAATAGTAAAACACATAACCTCATATATTTCAGTTCCGGTTGTTCTGCATATACTAACAGCAATATTCAGCATAAGACAAGTTATGTTATGTGGATCTGTTATAGCTTCTTTGGGTGTTGGACTAGGGTTTTTTGCTATGAATGTTGAATTCCTTTTATTTACGTATGGAGCTTTACTCGGTTAGTATCAACATAATAATTTGAAAGGGTACTTTTATTCGACGGATTGATAATGCCAGTAATCTCAGCATCTGTTGTGCCACAAGCAGAGTGTTATACCACATGCAGAGCGTAATATTCAGTGACGCTAAAGTGCCTTTATCAATTAGCAGTCTAAATCTCTTTTATAAAGATCACTAGGGGGCTCAAAAACGGTTGCAGAATGATATTACAACTCAGCTTTAGTGAATGTATCTCCTGGCAGACATATTTTTATTTTATAGTTTACTTTTTAATTACTAAAAACAAATATTATTTAGTTTTAGAAGATTTAATTTTGTCTGTTTGATAAATTTCTTTCACTCGTTTTTTCCCCAAACATATGTAAAATATTTTCGTTTTTATTTAAGGAATTGGCAATGCCTGTCTGTATGCACCAAGCTTAGTAATGATAGGCCAATACTTTGATAAAAGACGCGGACTGGTTACAGCTTTAGCAGTGGCTGGTGGTAGTGTCGGACAGTTGACCGCACCGCCGGTTATAAGATATCTGTTTGATACTTATGGTTTTCGTGGAGGGCTTCTTTTAATGAGTGCTCTAACACTCCACTGCGCTGTAACTAGTTCCTTAATGAGACCCGTTTCTTATTATACTCACAACGCAGAGATAGAAAATTCAAAACCTAGAACCTTGTGTTGTAATAAAGGATCAAATGAAAGTGTTACTCAAGAGCAACTTGAGCCACTGGAAAAGAACACAAGTAACGGAGTGGTCTCCAAGATGCAAAACGGTGACACAGAATCAGATGAAAAGACATCTTGTGCAAATCTCATAGAACTGTCATTACTAAAGAATGTCAAATTTATTTTATTACTCTTATCTTCGTGCCTTGGAACGGTGGGCGCCATTTATATAGGCATGTATATACCACCACATGCAAAGGATCTAGGCTTCAAGGACCATCAAATAGTTTGGTTTATAACCATTATCGGAGCTTCTGATTTAGTGGGCCGAGTAGCATGTGGTGCGCTAGCTGATACCAGAATTATTCAGTGCCAAAATTTATTAATCGCTTCCTTTCTTATAAACGGTTTATTTGGCAATTTGGTGTTTTCACTTAGTCGATACTGGCATTTCTGTGTATTTTGTGTAATGTATGGATTGTTGGGGAGCCACTACTTTTCCCTCATCAGTCTGATTTTAGTAGATTTCTTTGGACTAAAGATGCTTACTAAATCGTTTGGCTTCTTGATTTTCTTGGAGGCTATTACTAACGGTATAGGGCCATTGATACTGGGTAAGTATCGACTCAATTTTACTGTTTCTCAGGGCCTATTTCAACGTGCCTACAGGCACGAACGTGTCTCTGAATAAAAGATCCGTGCTTTGAAAATCTGAAATCCGAGCTTTGAAAAAATGCTATGTGGCCTTATGAATCTGACAAGAATGTGTGAGGAAACTTAGCTATCACATCCACCACTTTCGATTTCTGTTTCAAAGTTTTGTATTGTTGACGTATTTCCACCACCACCTAAGGCACGAAAATTACATAGCTGAACATCGTCAGGTGCAGGGGACAGTGAAGGTTCGTTTGCCTGTGGGTCGACTTTAGATGTTTCTTTGGACTGTTAAAGATACTGACACATGGTTAGAAATATAAATATGTTAATTCTGTTATAATTTGGTTATAAATAAGAGTGCAAGCGTGATATCGTGTTATCGGAAGTCAAATTCTGCAAAATTTTCACGGAACCCCAAAACACCGGAAACCGTGCTTTATCAATAAAACCGTTAAATAGACCCCGCTGTTTGGAAGTATCCCCTAAATGTATCATCGGATTGCCCTATAGGATCGTCATTGCTATAATCGTTCTTGTAGCTTTAAAATGCACGTACTACGGCCTCACCATTCCTAGTTCATGAAAGTCTTATCAAATCATATCAAGTTTAATAATTTTCAAAGTTACATTTGAAACCAGGCAGTTAGAAGTTTGGTGGCGCCAGGAAAAGTGCAATATTATTGACATTGCATTACTTATAGCCCCATGTTCAACCTTTCGTATAGCATATAGAACCAGGCATTTTGTCGAGTGTCTATGATCAAATTACTGCCTCAAATCCAACTCAACTGAAAGTTACATTTTGGCTGAATACGAAAATTTAGAACATGTGGTCAAATACAAAGCCGAGCAGACTAACACCACGACAGAAATTGGCATAAGGTGATCATGGATATTTTCTGAATACCGTAATTCAGCAAAAGTATGATTTATTTAACTCTTTCAGTTTAATGAGCGAAATGACCAAGGCAAGATAGGGATAGATACTAGTTTTTAGATAGTAATGTAAAGGACTGTGGCATGCCCTTATATTTAACATATGTCATGGTCTGTATTGTTCTGTGATTACAAAAAATAACCTAGGTAGATCCAAATCAAATATAGTTCAAATGCTGTCGAAGGACGGCGTGAAATTAATCACTGAAATGATTGATGGTCTTGAACTGTATGTTTGCTCTTTATTCAGGATTGATCTCCCTTCAAGGTATACCCTGGAAACTTCATGTAGGTACCATCCTGTGAAACATCATTGTTACTAGCGTCTCATTCATTTATTTGTTCTTCTAGGTTATTTAAGAGATGAAACTGGTGATTATCTGGCATCATTCTACTACATGGGTAATACGTCTATACTGGCGGCTTTTATACTATTTACAACGCGGTTTTTCCATTCAAACTTAATCTATAGGAAACCATCTATAGTAGTAGATCCAGAAAATAATAAAAGTTTGTTGAAATCACCAGTCAGCTAAACATACGAAGTCTTTAGTTGAGGTTCCAGAATTTCTTCACCCGATATTCTAGGTTTCAGTCGTAAGGAATGGCGTTAGTGGGTACAGATGAAGTCCTACTCCTACACCAACATATGTTAGTGAATGCAGATTAGTCTCATGAAGACTTTGGTATCCTCAGCACCGTTAAATTTTATTAACATACAAAATATAGTTCAATTGTGAAATTTATATCTAATTTATGGAAAAACAAATTTGGATTACTTTGTCCATGGAACTAGTTTAAAAAATGTATCCCCCTGTGTTAAACAGAATATTGCGTACTGGGAGAACAGACTAGAAGAACACTAATAAATATTATGGTTATAGATGTTACTGACAAAATCCAAAATTAATGATTAGGAACAATACATACATTACTTTGGAAGAGAAACATCGAAGCCAAAATCAGCCCCTTCTCGCGGGATTTAATTATGGTACGCATGTCTTCATTAACAGATATATCGTATAATTTCAAATCACAATCATTATTTGTGTGTTTCTGATATATTGCGTCTATACGTGTATATATTTGATTAATCAAATTAAAATGAATTGTATGTTTTTTGTTTTTGATATGTATATACTACACATCATATGAAAAAAGTCAAATCGTTTCATGGATAAGCGACCCCCCCCCCCCCAAAAAAAAAACAACCCACTACCTTACTGGTTTTTGTCGGTGTTTAGTAAAACCGTTTCTTTCAAATTTCGATCATCTTGGACATCATGTGTAGAATAAGTATATCTTTGCTTGTAGGTCATGTTTTACAATACCATGGGCGCTACTTGCCCAGAATCGCCCGTCTGATTAAGACCGTTGTTGCCAATATTATAATTCGAAATCATTTTATCACTTTTTTTATACAATCATTTAAAGTTTGGACATATATAACATAATTTCCTTGTCGGTTCTTGTCGGGGATTAGTTGAACAGTTTCTTTTGGTACAACGAGGAACTGAATGTGAGCCCTTTAAGTGTATTTGCTGTTATGATAATTTAATTTATAGTGTGTTTTGTCCACAAGAAAAATAATCCGATTCAATACAATAATTTCAAAGGACATTAATATTCATTATGCAATATACATGTGTGTTATTGGGATTTATGTACGAATATATTATCTTATTGTACGTGTTTTGTTAGATATTTATATTGGTTTGATATCCTTCCATATCGTGCCGAATAACTTTTACAGAGCATTTCATTAAACTTAACAGAAAATATTAGTCTGTTGTACACACGCAATCATTTTATATATAAACATTGGAGTTTTATTAAGTATTTTTGTTTTTATTTTCATGAATTATTCACGAGCGGATAATTAAAATATTCGACAATCTAAAATACAAAATATGTGTAAGGGCTTTTGAGACTGAACATCTGCATGGTATATTTTCTATACAGAATTATAATAATTCCCCGGATATTGCATCTCAAATAAATACGGACAAACTTAGAAAAGGTATAAATAAACGAGCTCAATGTCTCCCCAGCAAACATCCCTAACATCTCCTATGATGAAATATATTGCTCTGTTGGTGTGTTGTGTGGCAATTACCACTGCCCAGATATGTTTCTACGAGGGTAAATATTACCATGATAAAGAGATATTTTATGATAGCGAATGTTCACAGTGTGAATGTTTATTAGGAAATATCATCTGTACACATTTGGTGTGTACAAATCCACGATGTGTCGACTATGAAAGTAAAGATTGTTGTTGGCATTGTCCAAACGGTAAGTCTATTATTTTACTTTGGGCGTTTTTTGTTTAAATTTAAACAAAGATTTGAGAATCTTTCAAAGTGGTTTAATGATGGGGTTTCTATGCTATGCTACGGATAAATAAGTCACACTCATTTAATTAGTTATCGGTTCATTACTGGGTTTTTCTTTCTATTTGTCATTGCGTGAGCTCTTACAAACGTACCATTGGATGCTCATTTCGCATCACACCAGTCACGTTACTTTTAAAACATTTCTGTTCATTTTCGAAAACGTGCATAAACTGTCAAAATGGACGTGAGATCAAGCACTCTCTGTGACTGTTAAGAGTTCCACGACGAGAAAGCTTCAAGATTTCCACTATCACTTACTAAACGAATAGCCGTTAAACGAATGCTTATTGTTACTGCATTGGTGGGTCGTATAATTTATTATAAAATAACTCGCATTTTTCGTTTATAAAGTAAACTTTTCTAGTAAGTTGTTAACATCATGAACCATAGTTACGTCCCTTTAGCTGTTCACCTTCCCAGAAGTTGAAATACAGAAGGCATGAAATCTAGGATGTATGTATGCGACCGCCTATATTTTTATTTTGTGGAGTAATCAAACCGAAAAATAAAAGTATGCATGTTTGACTTTTGAGAGCAATAAACTAAGATGGACCACGAGAAAAGATTGTAAGAACAGAATATTCACATGCAGTCTCCATTTAAATAAGCAATAACACTTCAGAGATCTTCGTCGGTCAGCAAAATTAATTCTCTATTTGATTTCACTCTACAATTTTTTGAAACAAATATGTTCTGTCGCGATGATTAATATTTTTGGTTATATAGATAATAGCCCACACCGGTATTCAAGAGTTCAGATATTTTGGTCTAAGTTGACCAGTGCTATAATTTTCGTTAAATGATATTGTTGAAAGGGATAATACCGCTTAAATTACAGTTTTGTATTTTAGGGAATAACTGTCCGTTGCCAGATAGTGATGAAACCATTCCTAGTGACGGAGAATTCCATAAAACCAATTCCACCACAATGTGCATGTGTCCAACGATTGACGATTATTCAAATTCTAACACAGATCCTGAGATCCAAGAGGCGGTTTGCCAAAATATGGAAGGAAATTCTGAGAAAGTGGAAGATGAAACATGTTATTACAATGGTACAGTTTACAAAAACAAGGAGATGTTTCGAACCAATACTTGTCACAATTGTCAATGTATTGCTAAAGTAATTGTATGTAAAAGAATTGAATGTGTCAATCCACTATGTGTTGATTATGCAGTTAAGGACTGTTGTTGGGAGTGTCCTAACGGTAAGTAACATTGTAATACTTACTGGTAATAAAACACCGCTGTAGACCACAAGTCCTATCTCTGTAGTCAAGTACTCGTTGCAAAACTTATGTGTAGGGTCGCTAAGTTAAGCTCCAGAGTTTTCTCCAGGTGCTCCAGTATCGATTCGGTTTTATTTTTTAATGGCCTACCCTACACAAAGATCTATCTCTGTCCTCTTTCAATACAAATACTGTATAACTGTAAATGTATATCTTATGTATAGTTTCCAATATAGGTAAGTAATATCAGGTGTCCATAGAAGAATAAGTATACTCTACCCCGCGAGACTCTTCCATAATCGACAGTCCAATGAAACTCCCAAACGGGAAGCCGTATCAGTTGTCAAAGATATGTAATGTTATATATCCCAACAGTTGGTGGCCATAAACCTGTTTGAATGATTATTAGAGTTTAGATGTTACATACATAGGCTTGTATCAGTAATAATTTCTCGCTTGACAAAAAGTCATTAAATAAACTCAGTCATGTGGGATCTGCTGAGAAATGTATACCTCACAAACTGGAGCTTGGGAATTACTGGCGAATATGATGCTAAAGCCAAGTGGTTAGTTAAAATTATTATTGTACAAGACATAGCGCCTATTGAGATGTCACCTCTGTTCAGTTGTAGACAGATTGCCTTAAAATGTCTAACTATGCCAGTTTATGAATGTATGCCAAATATTCTTGAGTGATTCTTGAGTGTACACATAAATTATACAATTTTACACAGATCTTAATATTATTTCAGGAATGAACTGTAAAGCACCTAATGGTAAAATTATGCCAAACGATGGCAATTTCCACAGTATCAACTCAACTACGGTGTGTGAATGTCCCGAAATAAAAATAGAGCTACCCGCATTAAGTAAAGTTTACCTCATGGATGCTGTGTGTAAAAATAAAGAGACAACTTCAACGGTACCGCCTCCATCCACAACCGAACTGAATGAAAACGATAGTGCTAAAGTACCAACGACCAAAGCCCCATTCTATAGAACAACGTGCGAACCATGTCCAGACCCCATGAAGCTTCCTGCTAAAAAGTTGGTATTCAAGATAATGTCCTCTTGGATATTTCAACTGGCACAATCTCTAGAAAAGATGGAAGATTGTATTTTTTGAAGTTTCTTAGCGGTTCCTGGTAACATATGTTAGATAAGGTATAAGGTATTAGTCGATAACTGACTTTAAACTTAACAGGTCTTCTTTTTGAATTTATTTTTTCGTTTAATTTCATTTATAGTTAAGTCATAATTAGGTTAACAAGACATGGTTTTCAAAGCAATCAGAAACCGTCTACAGCAAAAATTACGTGTACTCTTTACTTTTGTAATTCTATATTTACGACAACTAGCAGACAGAAGGCTTTGTTTCGTACTTTAGAGCAAATTAAGTGTATTTTCTTGTCTTATTGTTAAGCTACTTGGACGATAGCTTCTAGTCTTAGTTTCCCTTGTAGACAAATGCTTAGAAAAGATAAGTCCCATCGATCAATAATGGATTGAAAAATAAAATAAAATAAAAATGTAAGTCGATTACTTATGTGTTTGACTTCCTCATCATTTTAGTCTCACTGGTGCAGTTAAGTCGAGTACATTTTGATTGATGTATCTTCTCAGAAATGAAAAGATATATATATATATATTGCAATAACTTTCATCAATTTAAAATAAATGACCGAGACATTTTATATGTGCTTTCCATTCTCTGGTGGCCCGTAGTACAAATTGTTATATAGTCTCCGTGGAAGTTAATGGGGCATATATTAAAACTCCTTAACACATTATCTATATAGCTTAATAGAATATAACAATAATACATTGATTAAGACTGATATTTCATTTGTGAAGATAAATTGATGACAGTATAAGGAAAGCTGGACAGAACGCCATTCGTTACAGACAACGCGAATGACAGAATATGTATCTCTAGGGACATCCTAACAGACACAAACACCATTATTTTTGTAGCGGCACGTTATAGCGGGGTTATCAAAATGTCAGTCGGCTTTAGTATGACAATTAGAAGTCAGTGAAAGTCCATTCATTGGTTTTTATTATCAATTTCCAATGGAATACCAAAATAACGTGTTCCATCTGAATAGCCACATATAAGATAAACAAGTTTGTGTTTTAAGATAGAATAATATTTTTATTGACTAGTGGGTTATTTCCTGTCAATATAACCTATTTCGTATTTTGTAATATTTCGGGTATTATGTTTTTATTTCTTGTCCAGTATTCAATCGTCCTCGCCCACGCTTTCAGTCTAATCTGCCTATATTGACGAGAATATATACGCAAATATACATTTGCGAAGTTGTATTTCACTTCACCTACGCTAGTCTGGTTTGATTTTTTAACGGTTAAAAAAAATACAAGAAAGTGCCCAATATAAAAATGTTATCTGCCTATATTGACGAGAATATATACGCCAATATACTTTTGCGAAGTTGTATTTCACTTCACCTACGCTAGTCTGGTTATCGGAAATCCTATAAGTTTCCGTCTTTCCTGCATATAGATATCGTAATTTTTGTTTATCATTCACACACGATGAAGATAGTTGGTCATCAGATAAGGATCATTGCTGCATACCATTTGCTAATAATTCAACAGAATAGAATCCTTTCAAATGTCTTTGATTTTCGCTAATTTCAGTTCAGTTTAAACGTATACATTTGTCCGTCAATGAGTCATTGTATAATCAAATTAAGGCCGCGTTTTCATTTAGTAACATACAATCAATATATATGTAAACAATGGCTTCTTTATGTATTGCAGTATTACAAATACTAATAATCGAACGAACGCCTTCATCGCAAACATTTATTCTTTTCCACCAACATGGGTACTTGACGCATTTATGTGTTTTATTATTATCATGGATGTTTTGATGTTTTATTATAAAATTTAGAAGGGCTCAAATCTAATAAATAGCCAGACAACACAGCATAAATTCAGATAGTTTTTCAATCAAATAAGTGGTTTGCAGATAAGATAATGAAAGCTATAAAAACATATACAACCGCCAGTATTTATCTATGATAGACAATAATGAAATTAAAAAAAAAACAAAACCCACAATCGGTGAATGTTGTTTTTAAGGCCCATGAGAAATATATCATATGCTATATCGTTTTTTCAAAGTGTTTTTCATACTAGGTATTCCGATAAAACATTTAGATATGGAATATGTTAATAACTTATAGGACCCACATAGACACAAACCAAATGTTTATCGGTTAACAAACAAGTGAAATTAACGGTGACATTTAGTTATACTCAGTGTGTTATACATTGATGTGTTCCAGTAATTGATACTGGAGAATAGTTCCCAGGGTATCTTTAAAGGTAGGATTGGTAGAGGAGTTTACACCTTTAATTATACCCGTGGGGCTACCAGATATACAATTAAACAGGGAAACACTTTATAGAAACAAACCTATATATAAATATACAATGCACTAGTAAGTCATAAATATTCCAGTACATATTTTGACAGGCATAATCACAATATATTAACGTTATTGACCAGTGTTAAATACTATCAGTAATTGCTATTTCACATTGAATGGAATAATTATTTAACTTACGTATTACTCTATAAATTCTAGAATTTCATTTTCGGATTGTCAACAAGAGGCGCGAAATGATGGTAGAAAGGTGTTAGCGTTATAGTGGTAATGTAGTGCAATAACACCATCCCACTGATTAATTTCCTGCGCTGCTGAAAACAATACCCTTTGCAGAACACCCGATTAGATTGTATTACATACTTCGAGAAGGTATTTGTTGAGTAATAAAACCTTCTAGTAGTCTATCGAGGGCTGGCCGTCCTTACCGCTAGGTACAAATAAAACCTTATAGTAGTTTATCGAGGTTCGGGTGCTTCCTGAGTCCAAAATGGCCGCTTTATATAAATGAGAATTTTGGGGATAACTATCCCGAACCCTAACCCTTTTTAAAATACTGATTTTGGGTCTAATTTAGTTTTTACTTCTCTTAAAAGGGTTAGGTTTAAGAATTTGGGGGAGAGTTCTGGCTTGTTCTGGAATTTGTTGCTTCTAGTGGTGATAATATTTGTACCGTGCGGTAAGGACGGCCAGCCCCCGATAAACTACTAGAAGGTTTTATTACTCAACAAATACCTTCTCGAAGTATGTAATAAAATCTAATCGGGTGTGCAGAAATACCTTTAACACATAGAGTAATTATACTGCATATTGTATAAACACTTATGGGTTACAGAATTTAGAAATTCATACGCAAGGTATGGAAGCCGATAACCGCCTTTTCTCTCCTTCTTTTTCCTTCATGTTAACTAAGTGCGAAGACGAAATCATGTAGCCGCGACAAAATTTTACTTATTATGCTTTAGTGGAATAGCTAAGTGTAAAAATATTTCAAATCTGGATACAAGCACTAAAATTTGCATGGGTGTCCTTTTAGGGTCATACATGAACGTCGCAAGATTGCTTCCATTATCGGATTTTCTTTCTCAGTACTTTACTCACTGGATCAATCGAGAAGATTTTTTCATACGCATTTTCCTGTGGACGTATTATGTCGACTCGGCCGACTAAGTGTGAATTATGTACAAAGTCTATGCCCCTAGCTTAATTTTGGCCTGCACCAGACCACAACTTTTTGGGTTATGGCCGTAAGCTTTTACTCAAAATGTGAATTGTACAAGTTTTTGGCCCCCCAAGAGCCCCCAATCTTTGTCCGATTTAGATGAAACATAAAATATATGTTACGGATTAAAAACTATGACAACTTTTGGTGACGTTAATGCAATAAAATGACCATGATAATGGTCGCCATCTTAAATTTTCGATAGGCAATAAGCTTTGTCACAAGAGATGTCCCCAGGGAGTATTTGCCCATTTTCATACATTTGAATTATTTCCCTGGTTTTTTTTTGCAGTTATCTGCTGCAATATCCCGTAGCTGCTTCGTTTCGTTTGAGTAATAAGCAGCGCGAAGGCAGAAATTATCAAGATGTGAACAACGCGAAGTTGAGAAGTTACCAGGCAGTTTAGCTTCACACTGATTATTTCTACCTTCCCGCAGCTAACTCATTATGAAGCGAAGCAGCGACGGGGTCTCTATGAGCCCAGGACTGTACACGACATAATATTTCGACCGGAAGACGAAGTGAAATGACCTGGATTTCTGGCGTCCAACTGATTATTTCGTACGTTCTTGCCATCGCGCTGTTAAACTCATAACGAATAGAAGCAGCGACGGTGTGAGATTAGGACTATGTGTGACGGCCTCTTGGCTTCGCCTTCGCACTCACCTAACGTGTAGGCAAGGCAGAGGAGCATATAGGTACTTATCGGCTTCCACGGACCCATGTAAAAGGGCGATGCTTTTAGAGCCGATTAACGAAAATTTGTTATGTTCGAGAAAATATTTCGGATAGACCACCAGCGATCTATCACCTGCACTGTCAATGCTAGACCAAAAAACATTTATCTTTGTGTAGGAACCTTCATAGACGTCCACATGTCGCCCCTGTCCGTCCGTGTGTCCATCCGTCGGCCCGTGCTTAGGTTTGTTTTCACTCTACAGGTCACAATTTTATAGATCTCAGTTCCTTTCAATATTGGCACGTATCGGATCGTAAACTCATTGTTTATGGCCCCTGGTTGTAAAAAAAATCGCATTATTAACTTGTGGGTCCTCTAGAGGTCGCAATTTTCTGATTTTAAAGATACCTTCTCGCGTACAAACTGTGTGATTTGATGCTATATTTCGACTAAGAACATATTCTAACTAATTTATCTATCATAAATTTGCTTCAAATTCCTCTCAAGAATTTGTAATTGCGAGCAGATAGCCCAATCTATTTTAGAAGCCATATTTGTCACCTAACTTGATTGAGGAAGGGTCCATTTTCAAAATGTATTTGTCATTACTTACTGTCCATTTACCATACACACTGAGCCCTAAGTAAATTCTTGAATTATTTTCAGCCAACTTTTTTTCCACCGTTTAATTGCAGAGTCGGCATTTATAGGTTTACACCCTTCAATGTTCCCCAAATCGCCTAACCATTCGATCGAGAAATAACAACCGCCCCCCAAGTGAAGTTGGCAGACAATAAGCCGTCGGGTTGCCAGTCAGTGAT